ACAGTATATATATATGTGTGTGTGTGTGTGTGTGTGTGTGTGTGTGTGTGTGTGTATGACTATGTGTGTGTGTGTAAATATATGAAGGTTACAGTAAGAATAAAATTAAAGACTGAACTTAAAATATTAATTAAGATTATTATTTATATTAATTTTTAATTGAATGTAAAATATTGTTGTTGTTGTTTTACTTCTCCTCCAATCACATCATAGAGACACGTTTTACTATCTAATCAATTCCTAATGGATCAAATCAATTTCTGCTCAGCATTTCTTCTCAATAAATATCCTGTTTCACTTGAAAATACATAAGATTTCATGTTGATTTGACTGGCTTGTCCATTTAAAACATCATTATGGCTGTAGGTACACCATTTATCGACACCCACATTAAGGAAGTCCATTCATGGCAGCCTTGAATAAAGTTTGGAAAAAGAAATGTACCTTTTCAAAAGTCTATAAAGAAAAGTATTTTCTGCATGATATCATTCTGTAGTTTGTTATTTATTATACAGTACTTACATTTATTACAAATTAATCAGTTTTAAGTGCAACTGGTGAATTCATCTGAATTTCACAATTTTGTTTGTGGTGGAATATGTGCCAGTAATTGATGTGTTCCTCACGAAAATTTAGATTTTTTTTTTTCATGAAGACTTTTAGAGAAGATCGGATCACCACAGAAAAGCATGCAATATCCAGTCATGGATCCACTTTGTGCTGGAAGAATAACCCAGAAGGAGGAGATTCAGTCTGAAAGCACAAGTCGAGGGTGAGTGGCGGGCATCTCGCTAATCCACCTAAAAGCCAACAGAGAGACATGTCAGTCACAATAAGAGGAGGTGCCACAGAATAGAGACAGAAGTTCCTTCACAGTATACTTCATGTAAATCACCATCCTCCAGTGATTTAAGCATGTTTTTAGATTGACAAGCATGTTATTTATTTTAAAATAATAACATTTGATCATAGAAATACATCACTGTCGAATAAAAAAGGAAAAAACAAATAAATCAATAAATAACTTGTTGTATGTGTAATTCAGTGCTGGCTTAGGAATGGCAGCAGGCCACCAGGTGTCATAAATAGGCCATTCATAATTCACATGGAGGTTTATGCAATGTCAAGGGCAAACTAAAACCTTCCTGTCTCTGTGGCTTTTACTGGCGGCAGTCTTTTCTTGTCGCTCAGTGGGAAAAGAAAAATTAGTTGTATTGCATTTTTGGATAAAAGTGTTGGCACATGCATAAATGCAAATGTGCGATATGTTTTCCACTGGTATTGCACCATAATTCCTGCACAGGTCTTGCAGTACTTGCATGCAACCTGTAATTATACTGATTAATATTTATTTTTATTTAACAGTATGTATGTATGAATGTAGTTTAATTATATGTTTGTACATTTTGGATGTAACTAAGTATAACATTTTATGTTTTTGTGCTGAGTTTGTTTTTAATGCAAATATTAATGAAATAATTATAATTGAATTGCTAAATCATAATATTTAAATTTAGAAAATTATTATTTATTATTTATTTAAAAATAATTTTATTTAATTTAAAAATGATAATATATAAGTTTTAATATATAATTATATATATATATATATATATATGAAGAGTTAATCATTTCATATATATATGAAGAATTAATCATAAGAGAACTTAATAATTTCAGTAACACATTACAGATTGTTATTGCTATATTTGTTGTTGAGAATTCTGTTTGTTAGTTGATGTTAGTTAAAAATTAGTTGAATTAACAATGAACACCACCTGTATACAGTATTACCTAATTATTGTTAATGTAAACTCGGACATATACCAAGGTTTCTCTTAGCATCAATAGCTGACTTTCTTTGCATTGATTATTTCATGAACATGAACAATGAACAACACCTTATATACAGATTACAATACGATCCAGCAATACCCCTAATAAATGCTCTTTTCCTGTTAAATAATGTTAGTTAAGAGCCTACAAAAATTAGTAACACGTCAAATAATGGTAAATTCATAATAAATTCTATAATAAAGATCAATCATGTTAGTAAGGAGCCCACAATAATTAGAAACACACTAACTGATGTTGAAATGGTTTTTACAGTGAGGTTCACAAAAGCGCTCTCTTGTTTTTAAGCAACTAATAAAGTGCTGTTCAATGTTAGCTCATGGAAACTAATGCTTTAAGTAATGTTAACACACTGCATGAATGAGCAGACCTTGAATTATAAGAAATGTAAATGTATGAAAGAACATAAACTAATATTATTAATGTTTTAAAGAGGTGTTATTTTATATCAATACATGTTAATTACTGCATTAACAAATGTTAAAAAATAAGCTAGTAATGTTTAGAAATTCATTAGTGTATTTAACAGTTAAAATGAACAAAGATTAATGCTGTAAACAGATCTTGTTCATTGCTGGTTCAAGTTAGCAAATGCATTAAGTGATGTTAATAAATACAACCTGTCTTACTGTTATTTCATTATTTACATCATTAGTGATGTTTGCTGAGGTGTTTCTATTGCTGAAACTTTGAATTGAGGAAAGGTGTGTCATTACTTTTATTTTTGCAACTGGATATATATATATATATATATATATATATATATATATATATGTACATTAATGAGGAAAAAAATTTTACTTGAATGATTTTAGCAAATGGCTGCAATATAACAAAGAGTGAAAAATGTAAGGGGGTCTGAATACTTTCCGTACCCACTGTATATATAATCCCATAGATTTACATCGGAAGAGGGACCTAACCCATAAATAATGACAAGAAAATTTTACAGAGACTTGAGGAACAGCTCTTTTGAATTAAGCAAGTAAGCAACCACTCAGAATACACTTACACTTAAGGTAAAAACACTTACAACACACTAGCAACTGCATACCAATGTCCTAGCAACCACTTACAACACCCTGGTATTGTTTCCTTCCATTTATACTATATATACTGTATATATATTATTTTTTGAAAGTACTGTATATGACGTAAAAATTGGCTAAAGGGTTACAATATAAACATCCAAGTGAATAGAGGAACCAGGTTTAATCAATTTCCCCAAAAACAGATACTAATGGAGAAAATGGCAGGATGTCAGGCTAGTAAATCTAAGGGTTATCCATAAATTTGTCTAATACTTTTGACAACAACAGCTGGGCGAATTAGTCATTTGCTTGCAACCTGCAAATATGCAATCAGAGAAGCACTTTCTCCCATTTTCAGTCACATTAATCTAAGCCCATCTCCATATCCTGATAAATATTCTAGGTTTGCTTTCCAGGCTTGAGCATATGAGAAAAAACACAGTTATAAGAGCATAATAGCTTTTAATTCTGGGAAAAGTCAATAATAAATATGCAAAAGCCATTTTCAACATGCAATCTCAAAAAGAGACTTTAACAAAGCAGCCCTTGAATGACACTAATTAAACAGATTGTGTAAAGGGTTGGATTGCGCTGCAGTGTGGACGGCTAATTGTTGTTGTCAGGCAGAGTGCAGGTGTGTCACATGACTCAGTCTGAATGCATTTGGCTTTGAAAGACAGTGAGACAGGCCTTTATTTTCATGCTTAATGAGGTGCTGAACAGTGTTAGCTGGCCACTGGCATTGCCATCCTCCCAAAGTTTTGTTGAACCTCATTGTCTGAGCCACATAGAGGTTGAATAGGGCACTAATTGCAAAATCGTATCAGAAATGTTCATCAGCACATTCGAAATTATCATCGCATTGTGAAAGAGTCTGAGGGAAACTATTCCTTTGATGCAGTTTAATAACTAATTGAATAACTCGAGATAATTTTTTAATACTTAAATCTGTAAACAATTATTGGTAATAATGATATTTACATAATAATAATTATAACAGTTGTATTAACAACAATAGCAACTACAACAAAAACATTAATAATAATAATAATACAAAATCAGCTGTTTAAAATTAAAATATAATAATGAAATTTACTTTTACTTTTGATGTGGTTAATGTGACTTTTGTGGACTTGGAATATAACTAAATGTAACGTTTAAAGTTTTTGTGTTTAGCATTTTTAAAACGTAAATAGTATTTAATTATTTATAATAATGATAATAGTAATAACAGCTTTGCTATTGTTGCTGTTGTTATTGTTATGTGTCACGTGTATGTTTTGTTTTTTCCTGTTTGTCTTTATTTGGTTTGGTTCCTGTTCTCATTATTAGTTAATCGCCTTCATTCTGTCCACCTGTGTTGACTGATCATCTCGTTTGCTCCTTTGTTTCCCTGTCTTTACAAGCCTTCAGTTTCTGTCTGTTCTTCGTCCTGGATTAATGTTGATTTAATGGTACACATGAGTGGATGCTATTTTGCTCTCCTATTCTTTGTGTTAAAGTGGAATTAAAGTCTATTTTGTTTACTCCATCGTGCGCTAACTACAACCACGGACCGTAACATTATGATTACTTACATTATGGTTGTTTAATGTGATTTTGGTGTGCTTGGAATGTAACTAAATGCAACATTTAATGTTTGTGTTTTGAATTATTTTAAATTATAAACAATACTAGATTTAAAAAATAAATAAAAAATACTAATCATAGCATTTTTTAAATTAATTTTAAAATTGTGTTAAGTGTAATTTTATAGCATATTTGGAATGTAACTTCCATGCAACTCAATTAGTTTTTGAAATGATTGTAAATAATAATTTAACGCTATTTATTATTGTTAATATTTAATTAAGATACATGTACAGTAAATTATCAAATTAATAAAATTAAAAATATATTTATTTCCTTTTAACATTTTGAATATTAAATGTAATTTTTAAAACGTTGTGTGGTTTCACATCAATCGATTCAGTTCATTTAAGGCACTGGGCCATAATCTACACCTGCAGAACTGCCATGCTGTTGTTTTGGCTGAGAAAAAGCATAATTATTCATGATTAAAATAGAACAGGGGTTGAAACCAACAAAGTCTCAGGGGTCTTGCATATTTAAAGGCAGCCATGCAAAAGACGTTCTCTCTGCATTCAAAACTGTGCATACTCGTCCTGCATCTGTGCAATAAAGTCAAGAGTCATCAAACATTAATCTTAACAACACTTTGCAATATAAAAATGAATTTCGAGACATGAAAAATGGGTGCTTTACAAAACCTGAGGTGCGGATGTCAAAGCAGTGTATATTTTGGCCACAACACTCACAAATCTCTTTTATAATCTCCAGACTGGAACTCTCCATCATTATAGATTCACAGCGCAAAGCAATACTCATTTTCATGGTGCCACCATAGTAACCAGACACACAATTTACTCCAAGGATCTGAACACTGTACTTCCCTCTAGGCTAACGCCAATACACATTTCTTCAGAAGAAACGATAAATAAATAAACAATTAAAACAAGAGGTATGTATTGACCAACTGCCATGCACATTTTAGATTCAAGCTCTGCAATAAAGGTCCAGCTTGAGTTGTGGATTTGTTTTCATTGAAAGACAGAATAAATCCACTTTAAATGATCACAAGAGGTTTAGCTAAACTCCATGTACGGATTCGAAAGTCAGCCATGTCGAACTGAACCTGGATCATGCCACTGCCTATAGTTTTATAGTATTATTTTAACAGACAATATAGATATGTATACTACTGTCCAAATGTCTGGGGTCAGTCATTTTTGTCAGTATGTATGTATGTATTTGTATTTATTCATTTATTTTTGGAAAGAAATTGATTTTAATTTGGCAAGGACAACTTAAATTTATCAAAAATGACTGTAAAGACATTATAATTTTATAAAATA